TGCAACTAATTAAAATTTCCAATTATGAAATGTCTCACATTTACTTTATCATATGACCTTTGATCTTTGCACAGCAGCCAATCACAGCTGACTACACAAGATGTTTGATTGAATGAAATCATTTGGGATAGAAGGCATGTCAAAATATTCACAAGAAATGTTCTCTTGTTCATGTTTCACCTAAATGGCCAATATAGCAGTGTCTAAATTGTTGGCATGCAGCTCCTCATGATCTGTGCATTTAAAAAAAATACGTTTTGATCAAGACTTTGTAACACATTATAAACATCACTCTGCATATAGCCATATGACATTTACATGTGTGTGTTTACAACCATATATTCCCTCTAACTCAATTGCAAGTGTAAACAGCACTGAGGAGTGGCTGTACCTGGTGTGTTGCCAATCTATCTGAAAGATGCAATATGGATGAAAACATATTTCTTTAATATTGTTGTTCGATGCTCTATAATGTAGACAAATTAGATTACGATTCATCATAAACCAAAAATGTTTAGTTTGCAACTAACTAAAACAAATGTGTAGCGACTGTTATTGTACATGTACCTACCAAAACAACCAGTGCATATGGGTATTAGAGAATCTAAATTTTTCATTGAATGAATACTAAAATATGTGTTTTTTAATATGATAAATCATAGTCCAAAGTATCTGTCAGTATCCAGTATCAAATAATGATACTAAAAATTACACTCACCCATATTACACCTTTAATTTTTTGACTTGGAAATGCTATTATATCAACGTAAAGGGAATGAAAGACATTTCAATTATATAAGCTTCAAATGTAGACCATCTTGTACATTATTTAAAGAAAAAATATGTTAACAAGCCTTATAATGCAGACAGAGCTTGATATATTTTACATATACATGTAGAGGTATGAACATTAAGTTTGTACCAAGGTCATCAGCTTCATCACACGCCAAATAACAATTACGTCTGAATCAAGTAAACTGGCCCCAGTTCACAAACAGTTTATTGGGCTCAGAGCAATGTTTTTCCTCATTTTTTTTTTCAAACTATTGAAATAAGCCAAACTGACTTTTTTGGTACCAAACAAATAAACATGGCGTAAATCGTTATAATGTTTTTACTTGTTTGGTAACAAATTATTTTGGTTCAGTATTGATAGAAAAAAAAAAACTGTCAAAAAGAAACAGCTCATGCCTCTTAAAAAAATGATTTTAGTTTGTTATTTCCAAGACTTATTTTCAATGGCTTTTTTATTACTTAATCCTAAAATGTTGTATGGACGGTCTGAGAAAAAAACAAAACATGTCAAAATAATTATAATTACAAGTTGATGGAGCCCAATATACACACTTCTATACCTCTCCAAAAAATCATTTGGTCATGATCATAATATTATGGTAATGACCACCATCCCTTGAGCAGGTAACAAATCGTGCTATTGCCCTCACAAACAGAAGTTATTATTTAAATAAAATCAGATGTACATCCATGTATTTGGGACAAGTACAAGTAGTATAAGTTCACATGTGGGTGGATTTAAGCAGCAATGACACACCTGGGCTTTTGAGATAATTGTGATAACATACAGAACAATTGGTTTTGACTCTGGCATGATAGTGACAAAAATGTTTGGCAGGACAATTGATGGAAATAGTTCAAAACTAAAAAGCAAATTTACAAGATGGGTTATATTAGTTATCTAATACCATTTATATAATAAGATGTTCTGTACAATCTACATGTGTGAGTTTGGAAGACACTTAATCTTAGCAATGAAACAACTTACTAGAAGTTCTTCTTGAATAAAAATACCTACAGTATATTACATTGCAAATTCATTTTTGTTAAAAACATTAGCATAAAATCTGTGTAAATAGTTCTGAGTAATTAGTAAAATTAGTACATGTAGTTTTAATACACGTTTACAGGAATGTATGCGACGCTAACCAATCCTTTTCCCAGTTCCTACGCTTGGCCAATAATTCTTCTCTCAAATTGTGCTCTGCACTTCTTTTATTTATACCTGCAATGTATGAAGGATAATAAAAAAAAAATTGCTTCAGGATTCAAGACGCCTGCTACTCCAATGTGAACATTAGAAACTCAAGACCCCAGGTATAAATTAGCCTGCAAAGCTGAACTCAATTGTAAACTGACCTATACCGAACTCCATTGTCTTGCCCCTTCCTCATAGTTATTTGATTAGATAAGATAGAGTATAGTCCAAAGGTAACTAACATTTATCAGCTTATCAGCTGCTGGTCTAACACTATAAAATACAGTGTCTAGTGCCCTTGCCTAAAGCTAGCTTCAAACTATCATATATCTAAGGATGCAGAGTAAACTGTCAGGATTTAGCCATAATCTTGACCTTGACAAAAGGTATAGACTGAATGAATTGCGGGTGAGGGGGGGGGGTGTACACATTAATTATGCTGAAGAGAACTTGTATACTGTAAAATACTTTATTTTCGCTTGGAATTTATTTTCGCTATTTTCGCTGAAGGGATGATTCCATGAAAATAAAATCCAGCGAATATACTTTTTTTTTCTATACTTCACATTAAACTCATCAAAAACAGTGGAAATAAATTCCATACAAAATGCCCAAAATTCCATTTTCAGCGAAAATTAATTCCAGTGATAATAAAGTATTCCACAGTAATATAAATTGGTGATCATTTCAAAATGGTCTCACCTGTTGGCATGAGTTCCACAGTAAATGGAGGAACAGATTCTCTAGTATGATCAGTGCAGGTAGATTTAGTCCATTCCAGCAGCATGTCTTCTAGGTCACTGATTACAGGTTCTACAGACTTTTCATTTTCCACATAAAACTCTATACGAGTGACATCTTTGTTGTAGATCATAGCCATCTAAGAGTGGAAAAGACGGACAACTCAATATTGCGGTAAAAGTAACAAATCAGCTGGTTATATTCGGTGAGCAAATCAGCCACTTTTACTAAACGGGTGATATTCATGAAAAAAGTTACTGCGAACCAGCTGTCCTTTTATGTACCCACTTCTCCATACTCACTCCAAACCCACTTTCACTGTGACAAATTATTTTGGCTTATAATGCTTTTAAAAATTACTAACCAAAAGGCTATATTCGACAGAATTAGGGGGGGGGGGGTCCATAGACTTCATTTGTCATGAGAATATATATTTAAATCCCCATTTCTAATTAGGAAAAATAATAACTTTAATAACACATAATTGCCCACTTTTTATTGAACATAATTTCTTTTGGTCAAGTAAACACCTCTTACATAGCAACGAGTAGCCAATCAAATACTGGATTACATTCCCATTGAGAATGACCAACCAATCACTGATATAGAGTAACCTCACCTGCAGAGGACCCCTAAGAGTAGTGAGTTCAGTTTCATCTTTGACATATACCCTGACTAAACCAGTAGCAGTTAAACCGTACAACTTATACAGCAGGTCATACACCGGCAGGGGGTTATTTGCCACGGAGTAAAGCGGTTCTTTTACACTTCTGTCTTCTTTTGGTCTGTACAACTGTTCAACGGATGGAGCTGCATGGAGGAGAAAATAATGTATTTTTGTCTTATTAAATTATTTTTTTGTTTGATAATATAGCAAAACAGGGAAATTGTTCAAAAATATTATTTTCAGATGTTATTCTTTATTGAGAATCCGTCTGTGCTTATTTTAAGGTAGATTGTTGGTATTCAACCTAACAAGCAGCCTCTCGGCTGACATAGCTCTGCTGTTAGCAATGCACGTTTCAAATAAAGAACTGAAGATACCATAAGAAAATGAACACATCTGAGAGAGGTCTATCTGAGGTACATACATGTATAACATCAAAGCAATCAGACTTATGGTTTTTAACAAGAACTCGAAAATATCACTTTTTATCAAAAATGACAAAAACATTCATCAAAATTAGAGAATTGAAGATATCATCACGAAATGAACAAATCTGAGATAGGTTTGCCCAAGGTACATATACACCAAGTATCAAAGCAACATGATTTGTAGTTTTGAAGAAGAAGTCAAAAAAGTAAAAAGTTGACATGGACGACGACAAACAATCACTCATATGTCAAGCTCCGCTCGACAAAGTCAACAGCAGAGCTAATAAATAAGGGCAACATAAGTGTCACATAATTATTGATTGTCATCACTTGTTGGGGTTTTTATCCCAGTATGAAATATTTGTTTGAAGGAAAACTGCGTAAACGAAGCAAAAATGAACTTTTTTGAAACAATTTCAATAGGAAGCCATGTTAAAACATTATTACCATACTTCCCCGAGTATAAGCCCAGGGCCCTGAACATGTAAAATCGGGAAAAATTAGAGGGTGGGCTTATACTCGAGAACCACCTCAGAAAAGAAATTTTTTTG